GGAGCCTCTTAAAGAAGAAGTTACAGGTCTGTGAAAGCCAGAAATCTTGCTTGTTTGTAGGTGACCAAATACTTATTTTCCACCATAATTTGCAAATAAATTCTTTCCAAATCAGACAATGTGATTGTCTGGATTTGTTTTCTCATTTTGTTCTCTCATAGTTGAGGTCTACCTATGATGACAATTACAGGCCTCTCTCATCTTTTTAAGTGGGAGAACTTGCACAATTGGTGTCTGACTAAATACTTTTTTGCCCCACTGTAGTTGTTGCAAACATCAGACTGATGTCTCGCAATTCTTTCTGATATCTAACACTATTTTGCTACAACATCACTGTCTTTTGTATGCTTATAAGAACAACTTCTTGTGCTGCAGTCCAGTACTTTCATATCAAGTGTGTGGCCAACTGTTTTTTTTAATCAAGACAAGTTTTTCTTCCCAATTGATTTCCTGATTGTTTAATTGCTCCTCTTTCCTTGTTCTTTAGAATAAAGCACCAATGATTATTCACAACTATCTATTATGAGCTGGACTCCCTCTGTAACAAGACTTTTCAGAGACTTCAGAATAACAGAAGGCCAAATGTACTTTCCCAATTACTGTATATCTCATGCAGCTACTACATACAATGGGGCCACTATAAAGAAGTCTTTTGGTTCATACAGTTTTCCTTCTTACATGGAAGAACCTTTCACATACTCTGTCCAGATATCTGGGTAGAATCAGTGAGCAGATGGTCCCTCATATATCATGAGGTCTAGAACCAGTGTAGTAGCCTCAAGTTGGTTGTAGTCCACTATGCAGGTAGTCCTCCCTTAACATTTGTTCGGTGACCATTCAATTATAACAGCACCGAAAAGGAAACTTATGACCAATCCACTAAGTTCCAGCCATCATAGCATCCCGGTGTTACATGATCACAATCTGGGTGCTTGGCACCATCTTGCACTTACGACAGCTACAGCATCCTGTGGCCACCTTTGTGAACATTTGTGAACTTGCCTGACAGTTTTCCATGAGTGAAGTCAATAGGGAAGCCAGCGGGAAAGGTTGCTATTTGCTTTGGTAAATCACACACACCCTCCTCCACCCAGCAGCAGCCATACCATCACCACCCCGGTCTTACTGTCCTTGTGCCACACATTGTGCCTTGCTTGCCTGCTTGCTTGCAAGCCACCTAAGATTTACATAACGACCCCAAATCTCACTTAATAACAGTGATGGAGATTGCCACAGTTAAGCAATGTGGTCATGTGACATCACATTTTTCAAATGCATTGTGATAGAAATTTCAATCTCTTTACTGTCGTTAACTGAGGACTACAGTACGTGTACCACGTTTTCCATGCCAACAACCTGGATCATGTATTTTGCTTTGACTGCAGTTTCCAAGATGTCTTCAAAGGCAATCTTATAGAAACCAAGTACATACATGTAGTCCTTGATTTATGACTGCAATTCAGACCAGAAATTGGGTTGAAAGTGATCAGAAGTGATTTTATGATTCTTTTTTCCCCAGTGATTAAACAAATATGGTCATTGTACGCGCCAATCCATTCCAATGGATCACATGACTGCAGAACACACGGCTGTATGTAAAGGTGATTGTCAAGCGCCCGATGCCATATGGCTATTTTGAACTGCCAGGCCATAGAGCATCTATCTGTTCCATGGTCATTATAAATGCAAGTGGTTGTTAAGCAACCTGTTTTAAGTTGAGGACTATCTGTAGTAATGAGAATGCTAGTTACTGCTACCAAGTATAGCTGTAAATGTATTAGCTAATGGTCATTTTGGATATACATATATGCACGCCCACCCATAATGATGTCAAGAACCATCAACTGTAAGATAATTATAAGTTGTACTTTCAATTTAAAGAAAAGTGACAAACTCTATTTTGTGTAGTCTTGTGTGTGCCTTCAAGTCAGTGTTGACTTCTGGCGACTGCTTGGATATGTCTCTGCAGTTAACTTATAATAAACAATCTGAAGACACCAGCACTTTGATAATACACAAGCAGTCTACTTAAGACTGATACCGTTTTCATTTAAGAGAAATGAAACATTGTAATTGGCAACAACTGCCAAGAATCATGAAAAATGCAACAAAGCCAGGCAGGGATGCTAACATGTACCAAGAACAAACCAAACAAAATTGCCACTCCATAGATAGAACCCTTTGTGTTACCCGTCTTCTGGGCGATGCACGTTCCAGGATATTGTTAGAAGTAAGGTCTTCATCCTGGTTCATCCAAGCCGGGAATAAATAAGCAAACATGGTGACTACTTTGGGAAGAAGGTTACAGTTTATTGCAGAAAGATAGTTCTTCAGGAAAGTGCAGAGGAGAGAAGGAGAAGAGCGAGATTGAGCACATGGGCAGTAGGTTTTATACCCCTCCTAGCCTTTTGTTTGGAATAGTTTCCTGCTCCTGTGGCATGAACCTTGAGGCTGTTTCTGAGTGTTTGTCTAGGCCTTGATATCTGTGGTTTAATTCTATTATCATATCCTGCTTCCCAGGTGATGGGGCTGACTCCTAGAGTTTGGGTGGGGTATGCAGATCTTCTCTTTTGTCTTCTTGATTGCTCTGGCTTCAACTTTCTGATGGTTTTACATCTGCATTTGTATGGGGCTAGCTCTTACTTGGGGCAGAGAGATAGATTTGGGGCCAGGTTTGGTTTTAAAAAGTCCTTTTGAGGAAAAATATATTTCTCTGCCTTTTTAATATTTCCTTCTCTGGGCTAACTTCCCTCAATATGGAAACCAGAGATTGTGTAGTTGCTATGGCCATTGATTCATTCTTTTATTACCTTTATATCCAGCTTCTCTTCTAAGGAACAAGGTGACATACATGGTTCATTAGAAAAAGAACTCTCTTCCTCAAAAGGAAAGAGACACATTATGCTGTAATTAAGACCAACTGAAACATCATATTGTGAGCAAGCTTATTAAATTTACAATTATTTTTTTTTTCAAAGTAGAGGTTAAAGAGAAAATGTGGGGGTGAAGAGAGACACTGCAAGGCCTAATTTCTTTGTGAAGAATTGAGGTATCTGGATGTGGTTTCCAACAGAATACACTATCTTGTTTACTGCATAGCAAATATTATTAGGTGTCCAGTCTTGAAAATTAGCTTAATGTGGGTTCCAGAATCATTTTGATATTTAATTTCAGGGGTAGAAATGTCTTCCAAGTGGTAATTTCTGCTACTAATCATGGACACTCATGGTCCAGGATGGAGGTAGGCAAGGAAAATAGGAAAGACAACATGGGAGATGTTATGTTTGACCTCCTAAACTTCTGGTATTAAAAGAAGAATTTGAAAAAAGCAGTTCCACTTTACGTTTTTATGGGCACAGCTTTTGAAAAGGGACAGGTTTCTTAATAATAATAATCGTGGATATATTTTATATATAGGAGAAAGGCAGAGAAGTTACTACTGGGAAGTTCTCCTTCCCTAGAAATGCCAAGATTAAAAAAAAAAAAAAAAAAAAAAAAAAACAACCAAACTCCTGATTGCAAACCATCGGCTGCCTGAAGGTCTTTTGGCAGGAAAAAGCCCGGTTTAGAAAGAATCCATATAGGTGAATCCTGAACATTTTGCGCAGCAGTAGGAAGAGAGAAAGCTGCCTTCCCGCCAAATCAAAGCCTCCGTCTACCTCACCTGTCCTGGAGATGCCAGCCCTGACGGTACCACCGAGCTACAGCCCCTTCCCAAGTCGATCCTGGCGAGTCCTCATAACTGAAGGCGTCTCGGATGTCTCCCCCCCACCCCTCCGTGCCCCGTCACTCAAATCGGGACCTCAAGCGACCGAAGACCGGCAAAGACGATCGCACAGGTTCCGCGCGCCTCGACGGCGGCCCTTCCACGTGACCGTCACTACTGTCCAGGCGGGCTCGCTCGCGCGTGGGGACGATAGAATTCCCCGGTACTGGGAGAGGTTCGGGGCCGGGGGGGGGGGAAAGAGAAGCAGCCTCACCGCGCCCCCTCTACCCGACCTTTTCTCGGCGGCTTCAGGGGTGGTGGTCTTCGGAAAGCTCCACTGCAGCAGAAAAGCTGCTCCCGCGCGTGGGGGACGGGTCCCCGGGCCGTCGCGGCGGTTGGCCAAAGCCGAACTGTATGGGAGGAGCCTGGGCTTTAATGCACCATAAGGTTCCAGGAAGCTGCCGCTGCCGTTACCGCAGAAGCCTGAGCGGTCTCCTGCAGCAGCAGCAGCAGCAGCGGTGGCGGCGCGCTCCCTCTCCGCCCGCCCGTGCTCCGTCTCAGCGTGCTTTGCAGCAGAGCCAAGCCGAGCTTTAAAGAAGCCGCCTCGCTTGCCGCAGCGGCGCCAGCTCTGCCGTCTCCCCCTCCGAGAGACACCCCCTCCTTTCCCGTTGGCAGCGCGTGGGGCCGGGGTTTTGGCGTCGCAGCCTGTTCCCCCCGCTCCCCGCTGAAATTGTGCTAAGTGGGGGTGTGTGCGCAAAACGCCCGCGCGCGCGAGGGAGAGGATTGGCGTCGGAGCGGTGATCTTTTGCAGTAAACGGACACCATTTTGTGGCTAGCGGCGTTGTGACTTGGGCCATCGCTGGGAATTGCTGCATGCGGAGGAGAGCTCGCCAGCCACAAGGGGAACCTGTTGGGCGTCGCGATCGGGAAGTAGCCCAGTTGCGGCACTTCGCCTTGGAACTGGGGATTGCAGCAGCTTCCCTGGGCATCGGCTCGTGCGCGGCAGCGGCAGCCTTGGGAGGAGGGAACTTGGAGCTTGTGCAGCAGACGCCGCGAAAACCTCAGCAGCAGCAACCGCAGCAGCAGCAGGCGAAGGGGAATTGGACCTTGCGCATCCCCGTTCCTGGGTGGAGGCGAAGGAGGTTTGCACCTTTGCGCCAACGGCAGGAAGAGAAAAGGGCTTGGACCTTTGCCACAGCAGCGTCCCTGGCAGGAGGAGGAGGAGGTGAAAGCTTGCTTGCTTGCGTTTCTTTTCTTTTTTTTTTTTTTAGTTTTATTTTTTTTTTCCTTGCAGGGCAGAGAAGCATGTTAGTCTCAATGCAGCTCCCCTTCCCTCCTCGCCGCTAATCTCAGTCGTGGTGGGGCGATGATGGATACTTGCCTGCCTGTTCTCACTTCCCACAAAAGTAAGCCCGCTGTCAATGGAGGAGGACATTGATACCCGCAAGATAAACAACAGTTTCCTGCGCGATCACAGCTATGCAACAGAAGGTAATGTAAGACTAGTAGGGGAAAAGAGAGAGAGAGAGAGAGCAGCTCTATTCCACTGCGGGGAGGCGCCTTGCCAAAGCTCAGCTCAGAGGCACAGATCCGGCAGCAGAATGGCGCGGTGTTGAACAACAATCGTGCCTAGGGCGGATCGCGGGGAAGTAGTAGTTGCGGCGGCGGCGGGTACGACGGCGTTAGGGGAGCCAGCATAGCGGGAGCATATAGTCAGCGATGCTCGGAAATCTTGGCCGCCCAGCAGCAGGTGGATCAGGAGGGAAGGTCCCTGGGGCAATGTGTATGAGCCATCTCTAGGTGATGTCAGCTCCAATTCATCAGGGCCTTGATCATACCTTCTCTATGTGTCAGCAGCCTAGCTTAACCCTCTCCTGGGAGGGGTGGGGGTGTCAGGAGCCTCCCTTGGGGCTTGCTGAAGCCAAGGACCAGAGTGGCCCTTGGAAACAATGGAGGCCCATAGGGATGAATGGCAGATGAGAAAGGATGTTGACCCCTGTTGGGTACCATTGAAACCAATGTAAGCTGAGAATAGGTGAGCAAGAAACCAGGGGCTGGATCCTGGGAGGGGGGGATAGAGTGGATGATAAGGAAAGCGATCCTTATCCATCCTAAGCCATTCCTTCCTTTCTTGTTATTTAAAAAAAAAACCTTATTTTTGATTTTTCCTTTTATTTCTTTTGCATCATTTTGAAAGCATATTTTTAAAATTAAAACCTGCTTTTAATACGTGTGTTCATAGTCCAGAGGTTAGAATGACAGATGCCTTGCCTCCACCCTACACACACACACACACACACAGAGAGAGAGAGAGAGAGAGACACAGAGGATGGCAGGCCTGGAAGTGGGTTGACCTCTTTTCCCAAAAAGGAAAGTCATGGCAATGGGATGGTGCCCTCTGGGGGTTGGAATGATAGACTTAAAATAACAAAATGCCCTCATCACCTCTAGAATTGGATTGCCTTCTTCCTGACCAGGGAATGACAGAATTGGGGTGGTGGCTTTGGGGCGGTTTTGAAATCAATTGCTCCTGGGAGCACTGATCCAGCACTAGAATGATTGACACCCAAACACGCATACGCAAATTCAGGATACAAGAACAATCTGGGAACTGGATGGCTCCTGGGAGGAAGAGAAAAATGAGCTGTAGCTCTTTGCTCTTGGGTTTTTCCACTTCAAAGGAAAAGTCCTGTTTTCAGCTGATCAAGATTTTACTATGAAACTATACAGAGGCTGTAATGCCTTTAGTGCTAGTTTTTGTCAGAGAAATCATTTTAATTTTTATGCTAGAACATAAAACTGATTTCAAACCTCAATGAATTCTGTCTAGCTCTGGATCAAGAAGTATTTGAAAATGCTTCTGATTTAGTTCATTGCCATCACAACCAAACTGCCTTTCTTTACATTTTAGTACTCTGCAGATTTTTGTACAGATAAAGTAAATGGAATATTTAATGTTTGAGGGCATGCATTTGCTTAATACTGCTTCTCACAGCTGCAGTGGAACAGAATTTTCTGAGGGGAACCTGTTTTTGACCAAGAAGTTCTAAAAATACCAGCTCATTGTTATTTTAGTGACAAAGACACAGTGCTTCTGCTTCTTTCTGGCTTCAAAGATGCAAAGCAGTTCTGGGTCTTTCTCTGGGTGTGAAGACGCTAGCATTTTCTATAAACTGTTCCCATGTAATGGCAGTTCCCATGCAACTACATTTATTCCTGTCTGGTTTGTAGAATAGTTACTCTCCAACCACACAGAATAGATATTCAGTGTTCTTTATATTTCAGAGTCGTAAGAGTTTATTTGCTGAACAGAGCATGGGAACTTTATGTCTTGCTCTCCTACAAGTAACTGTTGCTTTGATGACTGGCAATTGTTACATGATATTTCAGTCTCTAACTGAACTGTCAGTTGTAATTTTTTAAAGACTGTATGAAAACTGATTTCAAACCCCTAACACTATGGAAAGCCTTATTGCGAGTCATACTTTTTGAAGCTATACGTAAGTTAGTATTTTCTGTTTTTTTATTTTTATTATAAATTGCACACTGCATTCATTATCTGTTTACAAAAGTTATTTTTATAGACGCTTCAGTAATTTGATTCAGAGTAACAAAAACAAAACAGATAAGTAATAATAATAAAGTTGGAAGGGATGTTGGAGGTTATCTAGTCTAACCCTCTGCTCAGGCAGGAAACCCTATACCATTTCGGACAAATGGCTGTTCAGTCTCTTCTTAAAAACTTCCAGTGTTGGACCATTCACAGCTTCTGGAGGCAGGTTGTTTCACTGGTTAATTGTTCTAACTGTCAGGAAGTTTCTCCTTAGTTCTAGGTTGCTTCTCTCCTTGCTTAGTTTCCACCCGTTGCTTCTTGTCCTGCCTTCAGGCACTTTGGAGAAGAGATTGACTCCCTCTTCTTTGTGGCAGCCCCTGAGATATTGGAACACTGCTATCATGTCCTCATCCTTCTCTTCATTAAACTAGACATACCCAGTTCCAGCAACCGTTCCTTATATGTCTTTAGGATTATTGTACTAGATTTATGAGTTTTTAGTAGAAATGAGTTTGTCATCTTTTTAATCATTTCAGAAATAAACTATTCCATGCTTTCATGGAGTTACCTTGCAGTAAAATGTGAGACGCATACACACACGCACACATTCAACAACTATTATTTAGTTTAGATGCTGCACCAAATTATGCATAACTGTAAATATAGAAATTAAAGCATTCAGTTTTTCTCCTATGGAGGGAAGGGGAATATAAGAACTAGAAACTCTTGATTGCCCTGACTACGTTTAACCATGGTGTGCTGTGATGACTAAGTTGTATTGTAAATCTTTTATTTAGTTGATTTCAGGTACAATGGACTCATTGTTTTTGTTTATACTTCCCCTTCATTTAATGCACTTGCTATTTAAATCAAAAATTTTGTCTATTAAATCAAGGCTTTCTTAGAAATTATGCCATTGTGTCAATTGCATAATAACATAAATAATATAAATAAGTTTTAATGGACATTTGGATTTAACAAACATTCCCTACCTCCATTGTTCAATAAATCAAGGGTTATTGTATCTACTTCTTACGAATTGTTTAGTAGCTGAATATTATCACAGAAAATCAAATCACAACTAAAGCTTCAATAGGAATAAATGATCTGAGCTTTGAGCCCTTAAGGCATTGTTATAGATCAATGAAAAGTTCCACTTGCTGTTTCAATGTGGAAATACCTTTATAATTCAGCCTTAGACACCAAGAATGGCATAATCTATGTAGTAATGTAATCTTAATATCACTTATATTAGTTGCTAATTTATCATTGTATACAAACATTATTTTAGAACTGTTAACTATTTGTATACTGACTAATGATCATTACAGAAAGGTTCAGTACGTTAATATTTTACCATATTTTCTTGGACTTGATCAGAAAGGTGTTTTTTTATTACTACATAGAAAGTGCAATCTTGTATTTTTGTAGTGCAAGTGTTATGCTGGCTCTTCTTTAAAAAGTACAGTACATTGATTTCCTTGTAAAGATTCCCATGCTGTAAAAATGAAACATGATGTATTATAATCTTTGGCCTTTCAAATGTATTGATTATTTATGTGTATGCAAAGAGGATGTGAATCTAGATATTACTTGTTTTTATTACATTTTGTTGACATACTTTCATGTATTTCCAAAATTAGACAATAAGTATAATTTCAATATTTGCAGATTGGCAATTGGAAAAATATTGAACACTTTCAGGAGGTCCCATGCCAGTGATAAACATTTAAGAAAATTCATTGTCTGTTTCAATGGGATTTTTATAAGAAAGTTTCAATTATTTTTCATCATACACAAAATGGAATTCTTCAAGTCAAAGTATTCCAAGGCTTTACAAGACTGAGGCATCTAATATTATCTGGCTCCATCCTTATTCTTAGTAATATCCTGGCTAGCATGGTGAGCCAAACTCATGCAATACGTATTAACCTCACTTCCATCTAGAATTTCATTTTGGTTTAACCTAGATAAACATTTCTTCTACCATTTCTTTGAATTGTACTATCTTATCACTATTTATTGCTTAATGGCAAAGTTCTGATAGATCAAAATCTAAATAAACTCATTGCTATATAGATCCTCACTTTTCATTGTTGGTTTGCTGTTTGTTCCTACATTCTATGGATTTTTTTTATTTAATTTCAATTTGAGTTCAGTTGGTGAATTAATATTATATGCGAATTCATCAATTGGGTTTGCAAGTTATGCTTTTATATATCATATGTAAGCCAAATTACTGATTTATTAAGCTAATTATATTTAAAATAAATAATAGTACAAATACCATTCCGTCAATGATGAAACTCTTCTAGTAATTTTAAGTGGGAATCTTGATTGAGCTAATATGCTTCAGATTAGATTTTTTTTTTTTTAAAAAAAAAAGCTTGCCTAATCTAGCTTCCCAATTGATAAGTTTAATTGATGTGTATGTTCACAAATTTGGACATAGGTGATTTTAGCTTAATATCTATCAGAACTCAGTATAATGTATCAGCAAATATTCCTGATTTTCATGACTTAATGTATAGGTGCCAGCATCAAAGAAGCATTTTTACTACAAATTTCAATCAGGAGAATGATCTGGACGATATCTATTTATTTATTTATTCAATTTTTATAGCTGCCCAACTCAACCAAATGTAGTTATAGAACCAATAGAGCATCAGTTTTATTTAGTGCATCATGAAAGCTGGAAAATGCAAAGAAAATACTAGGAAAATGTATAGAAGAGCATCATCATAGGACTTTCCTTTCTGGTAAAGCATACAGTATGAGACAAAATAACAAAATTTAACAGCTAAAGACCACAAAGGTAAAGGGTAAAAAGCTACATTAACAGGAAATTCTGAATGAGAAATAGAGAAAGGGACCCTAATTCAGGAGTCTTTAAACTTGGCCCTTTTATGACTTGTGGACTTCAATTTCCAGAATTCTT